TGTCCAGGCCATTCAATATCTGTAAGTTTCAATTAGATCACCCCTCTTCCTTCTAAACCCCACCGAATATAGACCCAGAGCCCTCAAACATTCCTCATCTGTTAAGCCTTTCATTCCTGGGAACATTGTCGTGAACCTCCTTCCTGAGGTATAAGGCCCAAAATTATTCTCAATACTCTAAATGTGGTCTAACCAGAGCTTTATTGATCCTCAGAAGCACATCCCTAGTTTTATTTTCTAGTCTTCCTGAAATAAATGCCAAAGTTGCATTTGCCTTCCTAACTACTGACTCAACCTGCAAGTTTACCTTGAGAGAATCCTGGACTAGAACTCCCAAGACTCTTTGCACTTCAGACTTCTGAATTTTCTCCCCATTTAGCAAATAGTCCATACTTCTATTCTTTTTACCAAAGTGCATGACCTCACACTTTCCCACATTGTACTCCATTTGCCACTTCTTTTCCCACTCTCCTAACCTGTCCAAATCCTTCTGCAGCCTCCCCGCATCCTCAATACTACCTGTCCCTAAACATATCTTTGTATCGTCTGTAAACTTAGTCAGAATGCTCTCAGTTCCTTCATCTAGATCGTTAATATATAAAGTGAAAAGTGGTGGTCCCAACACTGACCCTAGTAGAACATCACTTGTCACCAGCTGCCATCCTGAGAAGGACCCCATGGGCCCTTATCTTACTCAGCAGCCGCCTGTGCAGCACCTTGTTAAAGGCCTTCTGGAAGTCCAAGTAGATAATATCCATTGATTCTCCTTGGCCTAACCTGCTCATTACCTCCTCAAAGAATTCTAACAGATTTGTCCGGGATGACATTCCCTTGATGAAACCGAGCTGACTTTGCCCTATTTTACCACCCACTACCAAGTATCCAGAAACCCTATCCTTCACGCTGGACTTCACGCCGATCTGCCTGTAATTTTCCAACTTTTGCCTTACTCCCTTCTTAAACAGAGGTGTTACATTAACCATTTTCCAGTCTTCTTGGATCCTCCCTGACTCTAGCGAATCTTGAAAGGTCACCACTAACGCTTCCACTATCTCTTCAGCTACTGCCTTCAGAACTCTGCAGTGTAGTTCATCTGGTCCAGATTAATTATCCACCTTCAGACTTTTTAGTTCTTCTGGCACCTTCTCCTTGGTGATGGCCACCATGCTCGCCTGTGCCCCCTGACTCTCTAGAATTTTTGCGATATTATTCATGTCTTCCACCAGGAAGACTGATGCAAAGTACATATTCAGTTCCTCAGTCATTTCTTTATTCCCCATTACTATTTCTCCAGCGTCATTTTTCAGTTGTTCAATGTCCACTTTTGCCTTTCTTTTGCCCTTTATGTGTCTAAAGAAGCTCTTGCAGTCTGCTTTTATTTACTGGCTAGCTTACCCTCATACTTAATCTTCTCCCTCTTTATTTCTTTTTTTGTTGCCCTCTGATAGTCTTTGTCAGCTTCCCAATCCTCTGGTTTCCCATTGACTTTTGCCACATTCTTTGCTTTCTCTTTTGCTTTTATGCTATCCCTGACTTCCCTTGTGAGCCATGGTTGCCTCATTCTCCCTGTACCGTGCTTCTTTTTCCTAGGGATGAATTTTTGCTGTGTCTCCTGCATTACTCCTAGAAGCTCCTGCCATTGCTGTTCTACTGTCTTTCCTGCTAGGCTCTTCTCCCGGTCAATTCTGTCCAGCTCCTCCCTCATGCCTCTGTAGTTACCTTTATTCAACTGTAATACCATTACCTCTGATTCTATCTTCTCCCTCTCAAACTGCAGAGTAAATTCAATCATATTATGCCCACTGCCTCCTAAAGGTTCCTTCACTTTAAGCTTCCTTATCAAGTCTGCTTCATTGCACAACACTAAATCCCGAATTGCCTGTTCCCTAATGGGCTCCACCACAAGTTGCTCTAAAAATCCATCTCGCAGACAATCCACAAATACATTTTCTTGCAACCCACTGCCAAACTGACTTTCCCAGTCCACCTATATATTGAAATCCCCCATGATCGCCGTGACCTTGCCTTTCCTACACACATCTCCTAACTCCTGGTATATCTTATGTGCCAAATCCTGACTACTGTTTGGAGGCTTGTACATATGGCTTTTTTTTACCTTTGCGGTTCCTCAACTCTACCTATGCCGAGTCCACATCACCTGACCCTACTTTGTCTCTTGCTATTGATTTAATTTCATTTCTTACAAATAAGGCAAACCACCCTGTCTGCCCACCTGCCTGTCTTTTCGATAAGATGTATATCCTTGGATATTCAGCTCCCAATCCTGATCCCCTTGCAGCCACAATTCCGTGAAGCCCACCACGTCATATCTGCCAAGTTCGATCTGCTGCCACAAACTCATTTACCTTATTTCGCATTCTGCATGCATTCAGATACAACACGTTTAGTCCCGTATTGACCAGCTCTCTTCTCATTGTCATTTGTTTACCCAGTGTGCTTGAAGTTTGATTCCTAATCCTTTCCAAACACTCTATCGTATTTTGTGTGCTGAAAACTTTAATAACCTCTCCTGAGTTACCCTTTCCTATCATTCTTTTCATATTTTGCTATGCAGCTGAATCCACTGCTCTGTCCAATGGACTGAATGGCCTCTTTCTATGTTTACAATTTTCTATGGTTTCTCAGATTCTAATTTAAAAAATGCCTAAATCTTTGAATAGTTTTGGAAAATTCAGTCTGAATTCCACCCCCTCTCCATCCAATAGGAGTTCCACAATGCAATGGGGTGCTGATTTCCCCTTGTCTCTCAACTCTGGGGCAAATGTCAGAAGCAGTACAGGGCAGCTCCAGACTGGCAGTGATTGTCTGGGTGACTATGGCCTTTTAAATGTGATCATTGGGTTCTTGGTGGCTGTGGTGATACCTAATAAAATCCAGTACACAGCCTTGCCACTGCCTACCCCCATTGGAAATTTTGCTGGGTCTGGGGGCAGGGTTGTGGAGGCCACATTGTGAGCAGTAAGTACAATACTCTAGAATGAAAGAAGTACAAGTAAGTTGTTGCTTCACCTGGAAGGAGTGTTGGAGGCTTCGCACTCAGGAATATTGCCACAATCTTACATATAGGCTTCTGGGGGTCAGAGGAATCAAGCTAAAGGAAGTTGTTGACAGACTCTGATATTTAAAACAAATACTGATGAAGGAATCAGTTCGCACAGGAATTGGGTTTGTCCCTTAGTAGATCATTAAAAATGCCACAAATTCCAGCTCACACCTATAATTCTTATTCAGTGCAAAAGTTTCTCAAGTCAGTTCCAATATGATTTATTTCAAAGTGCAAAGAGTATTGCTACATGAATAAAAACAACAATCAACTATGCACCATAGTACTCCAAATACTATTAGCCATGATCAAATGGTTATGTCTATTCTTGAAGCATTGTTTAAAAGAGAAATATTGCAGTGACACTGGTCAATTCCCCACCTTTCATTAAAATATGCTATGGGATCCCCAGCATCATTTTAATTGGGTGATTGGTGTGTTTGTTTCATGGTTTATTCAAAGAATATTATAAAAGTTTCCCTCAGCATTGGCTTGTTGTGCTATCTCTATTGGCATGCTCAGTAGGCAAAACGGGCTTTGAAAAGAAATTATCTGGGATTAAGAGTCTAATGATGGCAATGAAACTGTTGCCAAGTGCAGCAAAAACACATCTGGTTCATTAATTTCCATTAGGGAAGGAAATCGGGTATCATTATCTGGTCTAGCCTACATGTGACTCCAGACCCCAAGCAATGTGATTGACTCTTAAATGCCCTCTTGCCAATTAGGGATGGGCAATAATGACTGACCAGCAATCTGTGTCCTGTGAATGCATTTAAAAAAAAAATTTAAATCCCACAACTCTTTGAGTCAGAATCTTATATGTCAGAAACTGAACCAAATTCATACCCGAGCTTTAACAAATCAAGATTCACTTAAAAAGAAAAGGCCATTAATATTATCTACTCCATTAATGTACAGCACATTAGTGACTATACATAGTGCAGCAAATGCCTACTTCCTATTTGTGCTAGGTTGCCTGAGCAATTTTGAGACTTTGTAAATAGCTGAGGTTTGATAATGAAATGGTTACATTAGTTGACTAGAAATCCAAGTACCGGGGCCAATAATCCAAAGGTTACGAGGCTAATTATGACTTTAAGCAAGAATTTAAAAGAAGTGATGCCAACTGTTCAATCTATTTTATACAATTGCTAATTTTTGTTTCCATGAAAGTTAATGGTGACATGTGAAGACAAGATGATTAGGCTCTCTCTTGTCAGAAGCAGACATTGTTAGAGACAGAAATTGTGCAATGCCAATATTACTTGTCACCTGTCAGTCAAACCTGAAAGCTTGCTGCATGTGAGCATGGCTTGCTTCAGTATCAGAGGGATCATGAATGAAACTTAAAACTATGTAATTATAATGAGCAGCTGTAATTTTGATATTATGGTGAAGGAAAAGTCAATAATGGAGGAGCAGAAGAAATTTAGGCCCAGGACAGTGTTTCAAGGAACTCCTGCAGTGATATCTTATGTTTGAAATGATTGATTTCCAAAAATTACAATAATCTTTTCTTATACTAGCTATGCCTGTTACCCATGGAGATTTGTTCCAGTTCCCATGAACTTAAATGTTCAGACTCTTTGAAACCACATTCAGTCAAATGTGGCATTGGCAGTCATTCTCAACTCACCTCTGGAAAGCAGGTTTTGCAGACAAGACTATAATGAGATCTGAAGTCAAGTGGTCTTGTTGGAACCCAAACTGAACTTTGGTAAGCATGTTATCCACGACTAAGTGTTGCTTGATAACACTATTGATCACACCTTTAGTGATGATTGAGAGCAGGCTGATGGTATTTAATTGCAGTCACATTTTAAAGTGTCAGGTCTTATACAAAAATGCTAATTGTTTGCATAGAAACTGTAACCACATCCTTGTGTCAATGTGATAGAAAGAAACTATTTTATGCCTTTGATCGACCAGCAAAATGGACTGTTTAATTCAGATGCTGTTTCTTGGCTTCAAAATCATTTTTTTGACGGGACAGGAAGGTAAGTTTAATATCTGTATAATTAATTAACAAACTGTTAACCCAAAACAAGCTTCCCTGCTTTTCCTTTTTAGGTTCAAAGATGCTTTCAAAGTGTAAAATGTTACCAAAATAGATATCCATGTACATTACACAAACCAAAAAACTGTGGATGCTGAAGATCGGAAACAAAAACAGAAATTGCTGGAGAAACTCAACAGGTCTGGCAAGTCCAGTAAGGCTTGAACTGACGACGAGCCAGCTGACTTGAAATGTTGATTCTGGTTTCTCCCCACAGATGCTGCCAGAGCTGCTGAGATTCTTCAGCAATTTCTGTGTTTGCTCCTTACATATTAACTACATTTACTGTTTCAGCTCTGATTTCAAACATGTACTGTTATTTACAGATTTCATTTTTAGACATTCTACTCTCTTAGCAAATTGTTATTTTCTTCTGTAGGCATCTGTACAAAAATTATTAGGGGTCATGAGGTTAATCCTCATTCTAGACCATATATGGCTTCTATCCAAATGAACAAACAACATGTTTGTGGAGAAGCTTTGATTGCACCAAGTTGGGTGCTGACCGCAGCACACTGTGAAGAGTAAGTTAATATATTATTGCTGTACAACATAATTCAGAAGAAACGTTATAGATTATAATTTAGTAATGTGGCAAAATAATAAGTTAAATGTTTCTCAAAGTTCAATACTGTAATATGAATAGAGTAAAATACATTAAAGTCATTATGATTTCAGATAGTATGCCTTGTGTTCATTTGAGAAAATTTCTGAGATTTACTTAAAATGGGCAGATGCTTATCTTTAAAATCATTAACTATTAGATATTGCATTCACATCAGTTTCAGAGTGAATAGTTATAACAGAAAAAGACCAGTAAGGTTTCAAAAGATTTCATAATTTCCACAAGTACATATTGCTGAACAAGATTTCAAGTTTTAATTTTTAACTGTAACAGGTGACTAAAACACTATGGACTAAAGAATATTTAGCTGGCAACTTTAAACTACAGAGATCAACACTCCACTTTTATTATTCATCAAACTTCACAGTCTCCAATCCAAATCCAGTCTTATAACAAACATTCTACAGTCACTAGCAAAAACAGAAGTTGCTGGAAAAGCTCAGCAGGTCTGGTGGCATCTGTGAAGAAAACTCAGAGTTAACGTTTTGGGTCCAGTGACCCACTTCTGAGGAAAGGAACCCGAAACGTTAGCTCTGAGTTTTTTTCATAGGTGACCCTTCCTCAGAACTGGGTCACTGGACCTGAAATGTTAACTCTGATTTTTCTTCACAGATGCTGCCAGACCTGCTGAGCTTTTCGGGCAACTTCTGTTTTTGCTCCTGATTTACGGCATCCTCAGTTCCTTAGGTTTTTATTTAGCCTACTGTCACTTCCGGCTTCCAACTAATGCATGCTTTCCTATTTCATTTCAAATGACTGCCTCCAGATTTTTGCTCAGTATTTGGAGAGTTTCCCAAATCCACCACCAGTAATAATTCTCATTCCAATGATTATTCCCTTTCCCTGGGCTTTGTGGGGATGAACTTCCTGGATTCCTTAGGTGACTATGGAATGCATCTCTGTAACTAAATGCAGCCTCCTGCATCTGGCTTCCACTGTTCAAAAATAACCTGCAGCATCTTCTCTCTGCTGACCACACCACTTGCTGTTCTTTTTTTACCTTCTTCCCAAAAAGACTAGAGCTAACATGTCAATTTACTGATAGCACTGCTGCCCTTGCCCTTATGGAGGGTTGAGAACTTCGTCTGTTGCTCAGCCAATCCCCTGACTTAGCCAGGCTTGTTGTCAGGCTGAAATCAAACAGTAACACGATCCCCTTCATTTTAACTTAACTTTAAAGGCACAATCCAAAACTTCGTAATTTTATACGTCTCATAATTTTAGCAACTGTATGAATAGTTTCTAAATTTGATGAATTGTACTCTCTCAAAGTAATCAGTATGGAATTTTATTTCTATTAGACCCGAATTGTATCAAAATAAATTAGGTGGATTCTGTGAACGACAGGGATAACATTTAACTACTACCTTATTTGCTCAATAGCTTATTTTTTGAGGACATTTTGCCGCACAATGCAAAGTTTTTTGAACTTGTCTTGTTTCAAATTAACAATAAAAATTAATATTCCATTTTTAAGAAAATGTGGCAAAGTAGAACACGGTCACAGAGAAGGAAGAAGTGAAATAGCTATTGACACAAAGATGTTTGTGAGGTAGAACAGGCAATGAAAGAAGAAAATCAAAGGCTTTCTAAAGGGAAACACTAATTAAAAACCGGAAGAACTGCAAATGCCATAAATCAGAATCAGAAACAGAAATGGCTGGAAAAGCTCAGCAGGGTTGCCAGCATCAGCAAAGAGAAAGCAAAGTTAACGTGTCGGGTCCAGTGACCCTTCCTCAGAACTCAGTTTGCTGTGCTCTGGCATCAGTTTGAAACACTGAATACAATGGGAGATTTTATTGCAATAGAGTTTATATTTCTTTCTTCTTCTTGTTACCCTACGCTACTCCTCCATTCGCTGCTTGACATTGACTGGGATCTCTGTAATGGACTCCTGGCTCTCAGTTACAGGCCCACTTCCATTGTCACTGCCACTCATACAACTGCCATGTCCGAGTTGGAGCTGGGGGCCTGGTCTCATTCCTCCTGCTCCCCCTCAGACCCTCCTTCAGATGCTGCCACCAGTCATCGGTTGCCAGGGTTCTGACTCCAGGCTCCTCCCCCACCAACAGCCTTTGTCCTCAGTGCCAGAGCTGGAGTGGACCATGGATCTGGGCCTAACAGACTGTCCCGTGGAGGAAACACCACAGGATGACAACGAAGCCGTTGCGGCACTGAACGATGAAGATGTGTGAGATGGTGTGGATGCGGCTGGCTCAAGGATCTGCAGTCGAATGCTACTGGCCCCACTGCTGCCATCTTGGATCTATAAAGCCATTTTGGGATAAAAAGGACATTTGGTTAAGGAAAAATTAGTCGGAAAAATTAACCAGGTTGGGATCAGAAATTTATTTTGTGCTGTCAATGAGAGACAGTAGCCAGCAAGCTACATTCACCTGCTCCAAATAAGACAGGAGCAAAAAAGCCACCAAAAATATGTTACCATTCATTGGTATTGTTTGGAAGGATGGCTAGACCAAAGGTCCAGTGTTGTGGTATTGAAAATATGTTTTGAGTGCCAACAGCATTTCACAATTATAGATGACTTACTGGTGTATGAAGGTGGACCTTTTATTATAGCTTCATTTCAGATAAAATGTTGTGGAAAGGATACATACTTAGGGATCAGGTGCAGAGCCAAAGTTCCATCAGGATCCAGAAGATCTCATTCTGAAACATGTAACTATAATGGATTGGCATAAATCTTTTCCAGTTTATCAACACTGAGGAGAGTTCAGATTGCAAAAATCAACATTTTTTTACTCATTGCTTGGGCTAGCAGTTATTGCCTGTCCCTTGTTACCCTTCAGAGAGTTGTTGTAAGCTGCCTGCTCAAGCTGCAGTCCATTTGGTTTACACACGATTAGGTAACATCTTTATATGTCCCTGGCAGATCCCTTAAACAGTTGCCAGGTCTCTTAAGTATATCAATTATAGAGCTAACAATGGTTGAGCAAAACATTTTTCAAAATTAGTTCCTGATACAGCTCAGTGGCTTAGTGGTTAACACTGCTACCCCACAGCTCCAGGGATTGGGTTCAATTCCTGCCTTGGGTGATTGTCTCTGTGGAGTTTGCATATTCTCCCTGTGTCAGTGTGGATTTCCTCTGGGTGCTCTGGTTTCCTCCCACAGTCCAAAGACGTGCAGGTTAGGTGGATTGGTCATGCTAAATTTGAGTTATAGGGATAGTTTGTGTGGTCTGGGTGAAATGTTCTTCAGAGGGTTGATGTAGATTCGACAGGCCAAATAGCTTCTTTCCTCACTGTAATGATTCTGTGATTCTATTTTTGCTACCAAATACTTGGGCTGTATCAGTGAAAATGGTAAATCTGGAAAGGATCTTTTAATAAAATGTCTTCCTGTGGATCTAGAAGGAACAGGAACATTTTTCCAACTCAAGGAGAAAGTCTTTGCTTCCACCTTATTCAATCCCCCATCTCCTTGCCCCCAATTATTCCAATGAACTCTCAGGGCCAATTTATATCATTGCCCTCAGTTAAGGTAGTAGCTGCCTCTGTCAGAACTTGGCTCAGATTGATCTCTAATAAGTGAATATATTGCATGCTGCAAGGAGAGGATAAAATGAAACTTTACAATAGCATGGGGATTGCATGGACCGTCAATTATCCAGTGTATGATTGTGAGCATTAGGGAAAGAAGCTCCAATTTGTCTATGGCTGCATAAATTAGACCTTTATTACAGCTGTGCTAGTCTTGACATATGCTTAACCTTGTGTTATGATTGTTAGAAGACTGTAAGATGTAGGAGCAGAAGAGGTGAATCAGCCCATCGAGTCTTCTCAGCCATTCAATGAGACCATGTCTGATCTGCAAATCTCTGTGGTGCTGTTCTCCCCTGTTGTGTGCTATAGATTAGAAGAAGCATTGGATGTAGACTTGTTGATTTCGGCCACAGAATTTCATCTAATAATATATTTTCGTTCCCATTGTGACATCCATAAAATAACTTGTAAATCTCTGATATTTGCACTCAATAGCTTGCTAGGTGACATTTGAATGCTTCTTGAGTGCTGCATGCTGATACTTGTCATAGGCCTCTAATAATGCTCACATTAATAATAACAATAACCCTATTTTCTATTCATTTGTGGGATGTGGGCATCGCTGGTTGGCCAGCATTTCTCGCCCATCCCCAGTTGCCCTTGAGAAGGTGGTGGTGAGCTGCCTTCTTGAACCGTTGCAGTCCTCTTGCTGTGGGTTGACCCACAATGCCATTAGGAAGAGAATTCCAGGATTTTAACGCAGCGACACTGAAGGAACGGTGATATATTTCCAAGTCAGGATAGTGAGTGGCTTGGAGGGGAACTTGGAGGTGGTGGTATTCCCATATGTCTGATGCCTTTGTCCTTCTAGATGGAAGTGGTCATGAGTTTGGAAGGTGCTGTCTGAGGATCTTTGGTGAATTTCCTTTAGTAATAAAGCTGTAATTGTATAATTCCTTAAATCACTCTGCTTTGGCCAGGACATAGAAGTGATAGAGACTGTGGGTAGGGTTTTCCTAGTTACTTACGAGGAGTTAAAACCTCTGAAATAGATGACATGTTGGGATCCCAATCACCCCGCCCTCTTTCTGTTTACTCTACAATGGGTTCTGAGTCTCCTTCTCTTTGATTCCAGCAGGGAAGCAATTAGGCTAACTAAAAAGACATTGAACAACATTTTTGCCCTGTAGGGAAGAGTCTAGGCAAAGCCTGTCCTTTAGGAAATTCGACTCTTGCTCGGAAAATGGCTCACCCTATCTGGCAGGGCCAAAATCCATAGGATTCCACTCAGCATCACTTCCTCATGGGCATCGTGACATGCTTCCTGCTTTCTGGCTGGCCTACTCACCTGGAATGATATCTCTACGGTGCAGCGTTGCATCAATTTCCTACTTGAAGATCCTACTGCTAAACTAGCTCTTTTTTAAAGTCAGCAGTCTATGACTAAAGATTTTCGACATTTGTATTTGTTTAGAGGCATGTTAACTGTGCAAGACATGTTGGAGATTGTTGTTTGATTCATTACTACATGTGCCCTGGCACTAACAACATCGCATTCTTACAATTTCATTCGCCATCAGCTTTTCATTGAAAACACACTTCAAGGCTCATGGTATTTCAGAATTATTTCTCTTACAATCATCCCAGAGAATGGAAAAATCGGGACATTCAAGTGATATTGGGGGCTTATTCGCTTTCTAAGAGGCAAGAAGAGAAACAAGAAGTATTGAAAGTGAAGAAATGCTTCCCTTATCCAGAATTTAATTGGAAGAGAAAAGAAAATGACATCACGCTGATTCAGGTACATTTGACTTGATTAGATTGTGTAGGTTTACTGGCTACACCAGAGCACCAAAATCCCACTTCCTGTCACTGTCATCTTAAGTTAATTCAGAAATCTCAATGCCCCCAACCTGACAGAAATTGGGTGGGATGACAGTTAAACTGAAAAGCAACTCCTGCACACTGCTTCCCCACCATGATCTGACCTGAGCAGCATCTAAGTGACAAGGATAGCCTCCCAAGTTGGTGGTGATCATTTTAAGTATTTTTTAAAATTCATTCACGGGATGAGGGCGTCATCAGATAGGCCAGCATTTATTGTCCATCCCTAATTGCCCAGAGGCCAGTTAAGAGTCAACTACGTTGCGTGGGTCTGGAGTCACATGTAGGTCAGACCAGGTAAGGATGGCAGGTTCTTTCCCTAAAGGACATTAGTGAACCAATTGGGTTTTCCCTGACCATCGACAACAGATTCACGGGCATCATTTAACTCTTAATTCCAGATTTTTATTGAATTCAAATTCAACCATCTACCATGGCAAAATTCGAACCTGGGTCCCCAGAACATTACCAGGGTCTCTGGATTAACAGTTGAGCGATAATACCACTGGGCTATCACCTCCCCCTAAGTATGCAAATTATGTATCATTTTAACTTCAGAACAAAGCATGTGGGATATTGGTGGCCTCACCATGAGGTCAAACCTGCCAGGAACATGCTCCAGGGCCAGAAAAGGACTAGCAATTTAAATGGTCAAACATTTTACAGGTTTCCTTGTGGACCAAAAGAATCAGCAGAAGCCGTCTCTGTGGTTTATAAATAAACATCAGGCCCTCCCTAGTCCAAGATGCCTAGCTGTGAATTTCCCCCACTGTATTTGCCTTGGGATGTGGCCTATCCCTCTGTATCCCTGGTGGTGGTCTCCTAACAGTTTTCCACCTAAGTTCCCACCAACTTTGATTTGAGAAGTTGGCATACCTAATCAGGCCACACTGTTAAAATGTGGTGAGCCTATTCATTGCTATGTCACAATAGGTAAGATATGTTGGCTTGCTTTGCTACATTTCTGTTGAAGGCTCAAAATCACCTTCCTAGTCTCAATAATATTAGTGGATTCTTGGATTCTAAGGGAATCAAGAAGATGGAAATTGAACAAGGAATTGGAATTGATTGGTAGAGTAGCTGGCTCTTGCTCCTAATTCTTACATTCTTGTGCCTCAAATGACACTTTTTTCTTTAGCTTCTACAAAAATAGAAGATTTTTCCTTGTGTTGACTGGTTCATATGCTTAAGGGAAGCAAGGCTCCCCTGAGTACTGTGAGACAGATAAGATATAATCAGAGGGGGTAAAGAGCAAGTAGATTGGCTGGAGGAAGAAAAAGGGACCTGGTATTATCACATTGACAAACTACAGCTGGAATTGTCTTACCAAAATCCTTTTTTTCAAATCTTGCATTGTTTAGGAAAATATTCTGCAATTTATCAAAGAAAATATTTATTCTGTTCTCAGCTACTGATATTTTGAGCAGTAATTGGTACACAAGTAATGTCTAATTTCAAAAGCATTCCAGCCAATCGCTGTTTGATAATATAAATAAGTACCGAACTGAATTAAACACAGTATAAAACATTAGGATAAAAACATAATCAATAGGAGGAATCAACATTTGCTATTACCTTTTGGTTAATTGTAACAAGTCTATTTAATGAATCATTGGCATCTAAAATATCAGACAAATTTACTTCCAACTGATGCTGCCAAATGAATAATGCCAAATCTAGAACAATGCAAATCGTTCGATGTTATCGCAATGATAAGTGACATTAATGCTCACGATATTTAGTTCTTATTTCTAATAATTTAGCAGTTTGAATAATCCATCTATTTTCTCTATTAATTTGGGACAGTTGGCCAATGAAGCTATTATGAGCAAGCATGTGTCAATCCTGAAGCTGCCTAAATGTTAAAGCTGGAATCAAGTGTAGTGTTGCAGGATGGGGAACAACTAATCCTGAAATCCATAACCCATTTGATACCCTGAGGGAAGTAACCTTGACTGTCATTGCCAGGAAGAGATGCAACAGTAAAAAATACTATAACTATAATCCCTTTATAACAAAGGACATGTTATGTGCTGGTGATGCAGAAGCTAGAAAAGATTCGTGCCAGGTGAGTTAGCAGAATTGTTTTGCCTCGTGCTTTCTTAATTTAAAGGTTAGATTATTGTAATCATTTTCTTGACTGCTGTGTCTGTAAATGTTAGTGATGCACAGGTACTAATGTGATGAAGAAAGAAGCAAAGTGTAGGTACTATTAATGTTTTATTCTGAAGATAATCTCTGACTTATGCTGTTACATTATTGCTGCCAAATTAATTAATTCAACTAAGGTCAAATTTAGTTACCAAAATAAACCAATGCATATGAATGAGTTAATGGGTTATAAAAAGAGACAGTGCTAAAATGCACTACATCTGATAATTACAATTAAGTTGTGGTTAGGATGGAATCTATTATCGGATGTGTTTGTTTGAAAAGAGATGTGACAAAAAGGATCCTTATAAATAAACAAAAGCAGTTTGTTCTGGAGAAACTCCATTTGGTCGCAGGGATGGAACAGCAGAATATTATTGAAAAGCCTAAAACTTCTGAATGTTGAAATTCAGGCAAAGTTGGGTAGCTTTAACAAGAATCCTTAGAATGCAGGTAACCACAAACAATTGGGAAGGCAAATTTGCCTTATTCTCATGAGGATTGGAGAACAAGAACATGAAAGACTTGTTTTTCATAGAATCCCTACTGTGTGAAAACAGGCCCTTCAGCCCAACAAGTCTACACCGACCGTCAGAGCATCCCACCGAGATTTATCCCCAGACAACCCACCTAATCTACACATCCCTGAACAGTACAGGCAATTTAGCATGGCCAATCCACCTAGCCTGCACATCTTTGGACTGTGGGAGGAAACTGGAGCATGCGGATGAAACCCACGCGGACTCTGGCAGAATGTGCACACTCCATTCAAACAGTCACCTGAGGGTAGAATCAAACCCGGATCCCAGGTGCTGAGAAGCAGCAGTGCTAACCACTGAGCCATCATGCTGCCCATAAATATTAATCTGGGTCTCTGGACTACTAGTCCAGTGACAATATCATTTATGCCAATTCCTCCCTCTATTATTGTTGTGCATGCAGTTGTGTAATATAGACTAAGGGCAGATCTTGTTGGGGTTGAGTGATGTGTGCTATGGCAACCTCAAGAGTGTGCTACAAAGATGCTACCAATTTGTCTCCTGTCCACCAGAGGCATATAACCCAAGACCATTGCTACACAACCATCAAAGATGCCTACTGTTTCATTTCCCGTGCACATTTTGGTAAATCAGACCGTAAAGCTGTGCTCCTTTTTCTGGCTCACAAGCAGAAACTAAAGCATAAGGATCCGATGCAGAAAGTTGTACAGTGCTGGTCTGAGATAAATGTACAAGTCCCACATGACTGCTTGGAGTCAGTGGACTGGGCCATATTCAAGATCTCAGCCTTCACAGACTTCATCAGTAGGTGTGTTGTGGACCGAGTGCCAAGGAAATTAATCTGAGTCTTCTCCAACCGGAAACCATGCATGAACCAGGAGACCCTACTGACGTCCAGGTCTGAAGCATTCAATCCAGGTGACCCTATGCAGGAAATCTAGGTACGATCTTCACAAAGCCATTAGAGTCTCCAGGAGACAATACCAGACTAAACTAGAATTCCAGACCAGCCACATGAACACACGTCAATTGTCACAAGGCTTACATGATATAACGGGCTACAAAGCGAAGTCGAGTAGAATCGCTGACAACAATCCCCGACAAGCTCAACACATTCTATGCTTGAACAGAATGCCAGTGAAATGATGTCGCCTGCCCCAACAGCCTTGGGTACAATTGTACCCACAGTCACCGCCACAGATGTCAGATCGGCCTTCCTGAAAGTGAGCCCATGGAAAGCAGCTGGCCTGGATGGAGTCCTCAGCTGTGCACTCAGATCCTGCACGGACCAACAGGTGGCAGTATTCGCAGATATCTTTAAACTCTCCTTGCTGTGATCCTGTTTCAAAAAGACCACTATTGTCCCACTGCCAAAGAAAAATCAGGCAACATGCCTCAATGACTATCACTATTGGCATTGATATCCTTCATTAATAAGTGCTTTGAGAGGTTAATAATGGCACACATCAACACCAGCGTCCCAGATTGCCTTGATCTATGATAACTTGCCTATCCTCGCAAAAAGTCCTTGGCAGACGTCATCTCCCCAGCCCTTCACTCATCTTTGCAACATCTGGATAACAAGGACACCTATGTCAGACTCCTATTTATTGACTTTAGCTCTGCCTTCAGTACCCTAATTCCAACAAAACCCATCTCCAATCTCTGAGACCCAGGAATCTGCTTCCTCACCTCTGCAACTGGATCTGTAACTGTAACTTCCTGACTACAGACCACAATCAGTATCTTGGTACATGTGACAATAATGAATCAAATTGAATCAAATCAAATCAAATCAAACGTGTGGCAGCATCTGATGAGGTGCCTGGCAAGTCCCAAATCAATACAGGAGCATCTCACTCCATCTTTTATGTTTTTCACAAGCAGAGTGAGGGGTTTCTTGTTAAACAATATCAAATTACGAATTAAGGGTGATTATTCCTTGTTAGATGCTTGGTTGATGGCCCAACTCATCTCAACAATATTCAGCTTTGTATTTAACCAGTCTCACTAAACAATCAAGACATTGAGAAAAATTGACATAGAAATCAGAGCAGGTGCCTTGTGAGCTCAGCTCAGCACATCCTCCAAGTGATCTCCACGTTATACACTGGGCATCATCGTCTCAGGGCATGCTCCATGGGCACTGACCACATACATCCCATGTCTATGGACACTGGCATCCAACATGTGCCAACTTCGAAGAACCCTCATACCAAATCTCTAATCCACTTTCAGGGAAGTTCTTCACTTTAATGCTGCACCTTGGGCTGAAGTGCACACTCCGTCTGCACTGAACCAGGCTGTATCTCAGGCTCTTTTCTCACTGCCAGAGCAATTGTTCACTCTGTACATGTCTGATTTCCACAACAATCCTGCCCCTGCCCTGCCTTTTTTGTGCTTTACCCCCTCATCTAAGGATAATATATTGCTTCTCCCTTACCACATTGTCTAGCATAGACACAAAACCAGAATCTTGTCATGGCCATCAGGATGCCTAAGTCAAGTCAAGGGGGGGTAGCCTTCAGTCAGGGAGTCCCAGCATAGCACAATAAGTTAAGAGCAGACTGCATTACCAATCCAGGGGCGAGCACAGACAACATGGGGCGGTCAGAATCATGATGTTCTCCTAATAAAGGAAGAGGAGCTGAATGTTGGCAGCTGTCTAAGGATCTTTACTGAATTTCTGCAGCACATCTTGTAGATAGTACATTCTGCTGTTACTGAACATCAGTGGTGCCAATCAAGCCTCTTGAATATTGTTGGAACTGCACCCATCCAGGGAAGAGTGCAGTATTCCATCACACTCCTGCCTTGTGCCTTGAACAGGCTTTGGTGAGTCAGTAAGAGAGGTACTCATTGCCGTATTCCTGTCTGTGGAACTTCCTCCTCCAGTGAATTGTTTCACCACCATTCACAACTGGATGTGTCAGGACTGCAGAGCTTAGATCTGATCTGTTGGTTGTGGGATCACTAAGCTCTGTCTATCACTTGCTGCTTTGATTTGATTTGATTTATTGTAGTCACATGTACCTGGGTACAGTGAAAAGCTTTGTTTTGTGAGCAGTACAGGCAGACCATAGCAAACAAGAACATAGAGATCAAAGGGTGCCTTATACACAGCGAGGCATACAGGTTACGGCTGCACAGGATCAAAGCAAGATCAACATTAGCAAAATCAGCATTATTTGAAGTTAGAGAAGTCCTTTCATCATCTAATAGAAGCAGGGAAGAAGCTGTTTTTGAACCTGTTGGTGCATGTTTTCAAGCTTCTGTGTCTTTTGCCTGATGGAAGGGGTCATGCTGTTTGGCATGCAAGCAGTCCTGTTTGGTAGCTTTGTCAGGTTGACACTTCATTTTTAGGTATATTTGGTGCTGCTCTTAGCATTCCCTCTACTGAGCCAGGGTTGATCCCCTCACTTGATGGGAATGGTTGAATGGGGGAGATGCCAATCATGAGGTTGCAGATTGTGCTGGAGTACAATTCTGCTGCTGTTGATAGCCCACAGCTCCTCAGGAATTGCAGTCCTGAATTATTAGACCTGTTTGAAGTCTGTCCCATTTAGCGCAGTGATAATGCCAGGCAACATGATGGAGGTATTTTCACTGTGAAAGTGGGACATCATCTACACAAGAACTGTGTGGTGGTCACTCCTTCCAATACTGTCATGGAATGAAGCATCTGTAGCCAGTAGATTGTTAAGGGTGAAGTTGAATATCTTTTTTCCTTTGTTAGTTCCCTCACCACCTGCTGCAGACCCAGACTAACAGCTGTGTCCTTTAGGACCCAGCCAGCTCGATCAGTGGTACTGCTGCCGAGCCACTCTTGGTGGTGGACATTGAAATCCTCCACCTAGAGTACATTCTGTGCTCTTGCTATCCTCAGGGTTTCCTCCAAGTGTTGTTCAACATGGAGAAGTACTGATTACTGAGGGAGGAAGGTATGTGATAATCAGCAGGGCATGTCCTTGCCCATATTCAACCTGAAGCCATAAGACTTCATGGGGTTCAGAGGCAATGTTGAGGACTCCCAGGGGAAATCCCTCCTGGCTGTATACCACTGTGCCGCCACCTCTGCTGGATCTATCTTGACGGAGGAACAGGACATATTCAGGGATGGTGATGGTGGTGTCGAGGACATGATTCCATGAGTATGACAATGGCAGGCTGTTGCTTGACTAGCCTTTGAGACATCTCTCCCAGTTTTGACATTAGTTCCCAGTTTTTAGTAAGAAGGACTTTGCAGGGTCAACAAGGCTGTTTCTGCTGTTGTCCTTTCAGTGCCTAGGCCAATGTCAGGTGGTCAGTCCAATTTCATTTATTGACATACCAACCAGTGGAAACAGACTATCCTCTTTACCCTGTCAAAATTATTCATAATTTTGACCATCACAGTTAGGTCACCTCTTAATCTTCT